ACATCACAAGCCTATCATGGACATCTTTTTCTTTTGCGCAGTTTTTCCCGTTGTCGAAAGGTAAAATTCTTGTTATCAGACAAACACCCTTCAGGTATCGTACAGACTATAAATCAGAGGCTGGCAAGTGCATGTCATGGTGAATTGTTAGCTTTGATATATTTTATAACATTTTTTGGTCTTTAGGCCGAGGTTATAGTTAAAATCTTGAATGCAGCTTCGGAAGTTGTGACTATTGAAGAGGCGGAATTATAAAAGGAGCGCCCAAACAACTTTTCTCAAGAGACAAATAGTACTGAGCTATTCATCAGGTGTATGTTGTTGCAGCTAAGTGCCCCATGTATGATACATGGGGCACTTAGTGTTATTTAATAGCTAGGTAGGCTTTATGAATTTTTTCGTTTTCCTCGACACAAGAATGCTGATTTGGTTTTTGGTTGCACGCTTCATTTTGTAGACGTTCAAATGCACCTCTTCCTTATCAGTAAGTAAGTAAGTAAGTAAGGACTTTATTTATAGAGGGGGACACGTAACAGCTGAAAAGCTGACAAACCTGTGGCCCTCTAACTAGATTATACAGCATTACAAAATAATACTAATAAATAGATAAATATACAAATAATTACAAAATTCTATGATAGAAATAGCAGGATATATTAAAAATATTCAGAAAGATAAAATTGATTTATAAAATAAATAAAATTAGATAATCAGCTTGCTCTTCTGTAGGATTATCATTTATCATCACAGAAAACAAAAAAAATACATCATTTTAAAGGCGCGTTTTTGGTGAACTAAACAAGAAACGTCAAAATCCAAAATTCAAGAGTACCTATGTCAAGTTATAGCAAACCTTCAAGTACTATCGATGACTGTAACATTTTCTCATTTTTAGACATGTTCTGATAATGGCCTCACGAGAGTTCAACTACTGAATAAGAATAGATTTTTCACTTCCGGCCAGGCACAGTGTCTAAAATTTACAATAAATTGTAGATTTCTCATCTTATGAACAGACCGGCGACTGACGGAGAAAGAGGAGCAAG